CCTGCCAAAATATTCAAAGGTCAGCTTTTCTCGTAGTTGGGGGGAGGTATAGCTCAGAGGTTTGAGAATTTGCGTGGTAAACCCAGGCTTCTGAGTTCAATCCTTGAGGAGGGCACTTAGGGATCTGGGGCAAAAATAGTACTTGGTCCTGCTAGTGAAGGCAGGGGGCTGGACTTGATGACCTTCAAGGTCCCTTCCAGTTCTAGAAGATAGGATATCTCCATTTAATTTAAAAGTTATCCATGTTGAGGACAGAAAAGTAAACTTTTTTCTTCCTGGCAATTGCTTCTGTATGGCATTTGATATAAAAGAGGAGCAAAAAGGATCATTGGAATGCATGGCAGAACATTTCCATTTCCCTAGTATGTTACTTTGATTTATAATAGCATGATCAACCATTTTCAGTAATTTCAAATGAAGGGGGGTGGCCTATAAGGAGATAAGAGGTATCCCCAGCTTGAGGGCTTGAAGGCGGGGGGCGGAGGAGGAGGGGGTTAAGTTTGATTTGTCAGGAACTGTATTTCCATTTTGTCATTGGACTGGCTCTCTTGCTTAGTTTGTCTCTCTTTTATCTCATTATTATGCCTGGCTTTGCATGTGCTGCATGGTATAATGCATCCTCAGTTCAATAAGGGAAGCTTTGAGCTGTGCACAGTACCATTACAACGTCAACATTCAGAATTACGGATGCTCCATGGGAATATGAGTGTTCTTGACAGATGTGGTTCCACTGGTATGGGGGTGAGGCAGATTTAATTCCAGTGCTTTCCTTGTCAGTCCCTCCTGACCCAGGATCAGATGGCAGGGTCTGTAGGGGAGGTTGGGGGGTGCAATGTTGTGAAGATGCCCGCCCTTTTGAAATTCAGCAGCAGCAGCAGAAACAGGCTCATTTTCTCATTCACTTTGCAGGGAAGAGTGAAACAGGACCCTGTGCTGAGGTGGCCAACAGAATGGGGGTAAGTCATCCTGCAAAGAGGAAATAATGTGGGCATGAAATAAAGAGCTATTTTACAGGGTTACAGAAAACAAGTTGTAAAAGAAGAAAAAATAAATCCCTCCAGTGTCTCCATGGAGCTTCCTTATTTTGAATGTTGACTTTTTAAAAACACAGCTCTAGCCACACTTTAAAACTGGGGGTTTTCAAAAGAGCAGCTAATGGAAGTCACACTGCTAAGCTTTTGACAGTCAGTTTGAGAATACACCATTTGACATTTTGATTTACTGTGACATAGGATTGGTCCTATTTTATTATTTCATAGTCCTCAGATACCCACAATAAAATAGATATTCGCTTTGAATTTATTTTTTATTAGTTTCTGGTGGAAGTTATTGTTTTCATGTATATTTTCTTTACTGGTGTCTCTCAAGGTAGGACTTTTAATCGGTAGCAAATGATCAAAGACTTAGTTCCAAACTGAAAGACTTCCTAACGTCCTGCATCCACCAGAAGACCAGCATGACCGTGGTGAGGGAATAACGTGCTGTGGGAGGTGCAGGGCAAAATTTTCAAAAGTGTCTTAGGAGCCTAAGTAACATTAACTTTCAATGGGACTTAAGTGTGGTCTCTGCAATGTTTTTCTGACATAGCTGTGTCAGTTAGGAGTGTGAAAAAATTACATCCCCAACTGAGGTAACTATGCCAGGCTTAGTGTAGCCTCAGACTGGCCAAAATGTCCTTTTGCCATTGCTTATTTTAGTCTAGCCTCATTCTCAGAAACAGATGAACCCTTTTGGCTGAAAATTTCCAGTAAAATTCATCCTGAGGCAGACATGTGGCATGAGAAATCTCAGCGCAAACAATTAAAGTTTGGAAAAGTTATAATCAACTGAAAACAAGGTTTTATAATAGGAAGTGTTGGGCAGCCTTAATAAAAGGTGGTGCTGCCAGCCTTGCCTATAAGTATTTTCAGTCTGATTTCCTTTTATTTTTTTCATCCTGCAGTTTCCCATACTCTTGCTGATACACTCACTGTGCCTCTTATCATCCCTCACCCAAGCGAACCATCTAAGCTTTCATCTAAGCCTCTACCTCACCCTGTTATGTAGCTTAGTCCTATGTAATCTTCCCTTTTCTCCTGCCTACGCTGATACCCCAGGCCCTCTCTGACTCCTCTTCCCCTCTCAACTGACAAGCTTCCTTTCCTGTGCAAATAGCCTGGTGAATGCTGCTGACATCAAGTGAAAGTGCTTTCTCGTGCAGCTGCTAAGGCATCCAGCTGGAGAGTCAGTGCTTCCAGAGAGTATGGGGCCATCCCTAGCCCCACATGGTGCCTTGTGAGCACCTAGGGCCTTAGCATCCCCAGAAATTCCATGCCCTTTGGTGTCCAAACATAAGGGACCCAGATAATGCCCTCTACTCTGTCCCATGGGACAGCTACGAATGCTCTGGACTGGGGAGTATCTGCCTCCCAAGTGCCTGACTCCTCACCTGGGAGTAGTGAGACATGAGTTCCATACCACACAGTGTGGGAGAAGTAAGAGTGGTGCTGAAGGTCCAATGCTGCCAGTTCCCTGCCTGACCAAGATCTCAGTGAGGAGGAACCTGGTTGGGTCCTCCTTCACCAACCCCCTAGTGCAACTGCTGATGCTCTGAGCTGAGAGATCTGTATTTCCTGAGAGAGTGAGGTGATCACTGGGCTCGGCTCCATTTGAGGCACTGGAAGCCTAGAATAGAATTCTGTGACGAGACAGGCGCTATGACAGGAAGAGTACAAATTCAGCCTTGTGGGTCTGAATGCCCATATCTTTGAACCTGTATTTCTTTCTTCTGTGAGTTCTTACCATTCAGTGTTTTCTTTCTATTTGTTGCTGTGTGGCTCAAACAGCAGGGTTTAACCTGTGGTTTTGGGGTGTTTTTGTTTCTATTGACAGTACTCTGCATGTTTCTCTCATCTGCCTAAGAACAAAGAGATCTTGGACCACTAGTTTTCTAGCCTTTTGTTGTTGACGTTGTGATAGACTGTTTGGATGGAAGTCAAGCTAGGTTAAGAAACCGAGTAATTGATAATGTATTACTTTATATTGATTTGTGTCTCCTGTGTATTTTTTCAAGGATAGAAGCAGCAGAATAATTTTTCTGTGTGCTTTATTTCTCTCTCCAGTGTATTGCATGCATTTTCCTACTTGTGACACTAAGGCAAGTCCATGTGTTTCTTCATAGTTTCCATTTTATGTATGTAGTAGCCATGGAGCCAAAACAAAATGTTGACACTCCATAAAATATGTGACAGGCTGATCTGAGCAGTGATAGATCCAGCATGAGACTCTTCATGCTACAGTCAAGTTCAAATATCTGTCTTGCATCGTTTATTTAAAAACAGAAATGACTATAAAAATGTCATGCCCTTTTAAGGCCCGTAAGCCCATGGTAAGGCATAAAAGCCCAGCTTCATATATTGTTCAGGCTGAGAGAACATGAGAAACTCCCAGAGCCCACATTTATGGTAGTGGCCAGTGATTTTGTATGCCCAACTTTAGGCACCTTAACCCTAAATTTCAGAGATGCCAAGTACCCATATCATCCATTAACTTCTCCTGGAGTGCCAAGAACTTGTGAAAATCAGAACCAAATTGGGCACCCAAAATCAGTGACCATTCTTTGGCCCAGATTTTCCTCCAGCCTTATCCCTTCCACAATCCCATTGCCATAGGTTTACAGAATATTATATGCTCCTCAGGGAATCAGCAGCCTGCTACCAACATGGATCATCAACATTTCTGTGCCTGATGATCAGAGGGTTACTTGGGTTTACAGTTTGTGTAAAGGAAAAATATAATATGTGAACAGAAAAATTAGCCATTACTTGCAGTATGTGAAGTAAAAGATTGTTATAGATATTTCATAGAGGTGGTTGGGGGAATTTTCCATTGAAATTATTTTTGATGGAACATTTTTCACTGGAAAACGTTGATTTTTGCCACACACACACACAAAAATCAATTTTTCTGATAGAACATTGAAATATTTATTTTGTTTATTTCAGGTTGCCCTGAATCATAATATTTCTATTTGTCAGACCAAATTGAAACTTTTAGTTTCAGACTAGTTTCATGTTAATCTGTATTTTCCTGAGCTTCTGCAGTGCATTATAGACATATAATCCAGCCGGGAACTCCTCCCCATAGAGAAGATCTGGTGTATGACATACATGAACAAATACAGCTTCCATGAGGCATCACAGCAACTCAGGGGAGCACAGATCAATGTTAAACTGAAAGGAAACATTTCAATCCAGGAATGTCAAAACATTTCACATCGATCAGGGATGTCTAAATGAAACATTTCAACATTTCCAGAACAAAATTTTTCAGAACTTCACTTCTGCTGGTAGAGAAAGGAGGACATTTTCACGTTTTGACATGATTTTGGATGAAAACAAATTTTCAAACATTGAAATTTCCTGCGGGACAGAAATTCCAATTTACAACTGACTCACATTTCATTTGTGTTGCTTTGTAATTTTTGACTAATGTACTTAGTAGATTGTCTTCAATAATGTGTACTTGCCGATAATTAAGCTAACTAGCTGAAGGTGGTTGTACTGCTGAAATTGGCTGACGCTCTAGGTCTGCTTCATTCCTGATGTAAATCAATTGACTTCAATGGGGTTAACACCAGGAGTGAATTAGGGTCAATACCTTATGCTAGTGTGTTCTGAGATTTGGACAAAAACAGTCTATTTTTCTCTTTTAGGGAGGGTGCAATTAGGTATGTATAATAAAATAGTAACCACACCAGTCTTTCAGGATATGGATTAGAGTACAGGCCTCTGACAAAAATGTGAGATCATTCCATCAGTTGAGTACAAAGATATGGTAGGTGAGTGCGGGAGTGAAAGAAGTGGAGTTATTGGGAGAATAAATGAATGAATGTGTGAGAATGAATGAGTCAGTGAATGTGGGTGAATTACGAAACAATGAGTGTGAGAATAATTGGATGGGTGGGGAAGGAAGGAGGAGAGACTGAAGGAATAGGAGGGAAAGTGGGATGGGAAAGGGAGGAGCAAGATACCAGGAACAAAGAAAGTCAAAGGGAGAAAGTGAAAAGCCAACACAGAGATAACTGAAGAAAAAAAATCTAGAATTACCGCAGAAAGAGCGGCAGCTAGTAAAATGTAGGGCTTCCTCAGTAGGTGTGAGAGAGGGTAGACAGGTGAGGGGGAGAAAAATGAGGAATTGAGGGGGAAGAGGGAGGGCAGGGGTGTGGGTGGGGACCAGAGGAAAGTGGGGAGGGCAAGAGGGATAGGGAGAGACAAGCAGAAGGGAGAGGAAGAATGGCCATCTGTCTAAAGCACTGGATCGGAGATCTGGGGTCTGTTCCTGGCTCTGCCACTGACTTCCGTGAGCTCATGGGCAAATCTCTTAGTTTCCCTGTGCCCTAGGTTCCCCGTTGTAAAGTGGGGACAATACCACAACAGTGTTCTAAAATGAGTCCATGAATGTTCCTGAGAGGCTCGGTTATTATTGTGATGGGGTCAGGAAGGTACCTACTGAGATAGAAAACAGTAAAATGGGAGAAAATTAGAGAGCAGTGAAATGTCATTAAGAGAAAAAGGAGAGACAAAAATAGCAGGAAATTATGCAACCACTTCTTCTTCAAACTTCACCACCCAGCAGCCTCCATGCTCAACTCCACCAGCTGCACCACTCCAGAGGACCGCTACCAAGCAGCACCAGCCCCCAGCCACCTTATTTGAGCTGAACCCCACAAAATGGTTGAAAAATTAACCCAGGACCAAACCCTTTACACTCAAAGCATGATGAGATATGATAGGTTAGGGGATGATGTTTGGCTGTTTTGTGGACCTTGGACTGAAATAATTAGAGAGGCAAACTAGTTTAAAGGCATTCATTCACACCATATTCCTGTAATTTTCTAAGGATTATCCCATGCTATCCAAAGCCCTCCAAAATCTATCTCTAATGTTATTTGCATTGTTGTTATAATCATATCGGTCCCAGAATATTAGAGAGACAAGGTAGGTGAGGTAATACCTTTCATCACCAGAAGCTAGT